TTTTGAGACAGAGTCTCACTCTGTCACCGAGGCTGGAGTGCCAGTCGTGTCATCTTGGCTCACTGCAAGCTCTGCCTCCCGGGTTCAAGTGATTCTCCTGCCTCAGCCTCCCAAGTAGCTAGGACTATAGGGGCATGCCACCACACCCAGCTATTTTTTGTATTTTTAGTAGAGACGGGGTTTCACTGTGTTAGCCAGGATGGTCTCAATCTCCTGACCTTGTGATTCGCCCCCCCTCGGCCTCCCAAAGTGCTGGGATTACAGGCTTGAGTGACCGTACCAGGCCTAAATTACCTAAGTATTTCTAAATTACCTAAATATCCAGTGTTAAAATAATCTGAGGTTGCATTTGAGTCTCTTAGCTAACAGAATAAATCTAGATTGGGTCTGGATTCCCTGTATTATGTCATGTTACAAGGAGCCTGGGGGTAGAGTGGCTCTGGGGTTAGGTAGTGACTCAGTTGCTCAGTGATGGTATCAAGGACCTACTTAAATATTTTCCATTTTTTCTTACTGTTATGCTTAGTACATTCATGACAACTCCATCTTATGATCACAGAAGATCTGTAGTGATGTTAGGTTTCACATGCAGATACAGAGACGGGTATTCTGGGAAAAAACACCTTTCTACAAGTATCTTAGCAGGCTTTTTTTTTTTTTTTTTTTTGGGAGATGGAGTTTCACTCTAGTTGTCCAGGCTGGAGTACAATGGCGTGACCTTGGCTCACCTCAACTTCCACCTTCAGTTTCAAGTGATTCTCCTGCCTCAGCCTCCCAAGTAGCTGGGATTACAGGCATGCTCCACCACTCCTGACTAATTTTGTATTTTTAGTAGAGATGGGGTTTCTCCATGTTGATCAGGCTGGTCTCGAACTCCCAACCTCAGGTGATCTGCCTGCCTTGGCCTCCCGAAGTGCTGGTATTACAGGCATGAGCCACCGCGCCAGGCCGTTAGCAGACTTCTTATCAGGTCCTGTTGGTCAGAGTTGGGTCATCCAACCGTGCTTTAGCTGCAAGGGCTGAGACACAGCAATTGTCTGGCATTTTCAGCATCAAAAATGAGGGGAAGTGGTATTGGGGAAACAATGTCTGCAGGTGGGAGTGTGTGGGATTGACTTGGGAAGTAATCAGACCTATTGAGTTCAGCACTTTTTGGATTTCCGGTGCTGGTTCTTTGAGGTAAGCATTGTTTGAAGGCTCTTACTGAGATTGAACATGGAAGAAATGTGATAGTGGACTATGTAGTATCGTTGTTAATACCTGTTTATCTCTTTCCAAGTTGTATCACCATTTAGTAGACAAGGAGACCTTTACCAAATTAACCAATGTTGAATATACTTATTTTTATTTGTGAGTGAAAATACTAAAAGAGATCCAGCATTGGTAGTGATAATACAAGTGCCATGTATTTATGTAGGTTACAGGGCACTTTCACATGTATTCGGAAGTTTGAATCCTACCAACCACCTTGTAAGTAGGGGAGACAGCTTTTTGTTAGCACTATGTATTTTACAAATGAGGAAACTGAGACCAACAGAGTGAATGGGTAGCCTAAGTTCCAGAGTCAGGACCAGAAACAAGTCTTTTTTGTTTATTCCCTTCATTTACGTGCTCATCAAGGATCTTTTTTTTTTTTTTCATCAAGGATCTTATTTGGCTCCTACTGATAGGAGAAGCTTTAGATGACCTTAATTAATTACAATATATAGCTTGCCTCAGGTAAGAAAAAAAAAATCTCACTTTTTCAACATTTTATAAGCAGCAGGGACTGTATTAAATGCTGAGGAGCTCACACCACCTAGGATATGGAAGAGTATGGTTACCTGCTAGAGATGGCAGCACATACCTGCCTGGCAGGGCGAGAAGTCTCAGGTGGGAGCTGATGATGTTTGAGCATGAGTCTTGAAAGACAGAGCATGTTCTGCAGGCATAGAGGAGGCAGGAGCAAAGACATGGCGCAGGGTCAGGCCTGGTGAGGCAGTGGGTGGGGAGGCTAATGCAGGGGACAGGTAGGGGAGGGGCAGGCACAGGCCAGGCAGATTTTGGAGATTTGCTGCTTGCCAAGTGTGGTCTCCATCCTGGCAGCATTTGAACGTTTGCAGGGTCCAGTAGAGTTACAAGGTTGTATTTACCTTTTAGGGAGATGACTTTGGAAGCTGTGTGGACTGGGAGCAGAAACTCAGTAGCCCACTGTGATGTGGAATGAGGACATGCACTGTGGCGTGGGATGAAGTGGGACCAGGGAGACTTGTCTAGGAGGCACCAGCTATAGGTCATGTGAGTCTTGGTTTCTGACCTGGCTGATGGTGTGCCACTCATTGAGATTGGGACTGTGCAAAGAGGAGTGAATGTGGGGGAAGCACAGTTTATTTCAGACATATGTTTGAGGTGCTTTTGGAACATCCAGGTGGGAATGTGTAAAGGTAGACAGAATTGCTGAGATTAGTTGTCTATTGCGCACTACAGCATTATCATTCAGTGGCTGGAACAGTACAGATTCGGTATTTCAGTGTCTGTGGGTCAAGAGTCAGGCCAGACTGGGAAAGACTCCGCTTCGGAGCTCACCTGGTTGTTGGCAGCACTTGTGTTCCTGCCACCAGTCCGTCTCCCCTGTGTCCTCACAGCGTGGCAGCTGCTTCTGCAAGGCCTGAAGGTGAGAGAATCTTCTCATAAGGCAGGTTGTCACAGGCTTGTGTGTTGCAGTCACACAAGTGTTGTCCCACCACCTTGCCATGTTCCTTCCCCTGGGTAAAAAACAAGCCATGGGCCCCACTCAAACACTTATGGGGAAGAGCCTCCACAAGGGTGTGACCACCAGGAGGTGCAGATCTTGGGGGCACTTAGAATCTCTCTGCCACAGTACTGGCATTACTCTCACTTTAGGGAAAACTTCTTGCTGAAGGTCAAGTTACAGCCTGGATTCAAATATGTTCTGGCTGTAGCATGTGTGCTCTTAGCTCCCCCTGTCCTATCTCTAGTCTTTGGTAGAAGATCCTGAATTGCAGGGGATAGATTTAGGAATTATTGGTTTATTCAGGTCCTGAAACCATGGGAGTAGAAACTACAGTATTGGCTGGGTGCGGTGGTGCATGCCTGTGATCCCAGCACTTTGGGAGGCCGAGGTGGGTGGATCACCTGAGGTCAGGAGTTCGAGACCTGTGTGACCAACATGGTGAAACCCCGTCTCTACTAAATACAAAAAATTAGCCGGGCATGGTGGCACATCCCTGTAATCTCAGCTACTTGGGAGGCTGAGGCAGGAGAATCACTTGAACCCTGGAGGCGGACGTTGCAGTAAGCTGAGATAGCGCCATTGCACTCTAGCCTAGGCAACAAGAACAAAACTCTGCCTCAAAAAAAGAGAAACTACAGTGTCTATGTAAATCATCTGGGCATCTTGTTAAAATGCATGTTCTCATTGTGTAGGCCCTGGGAGGGGGCTGAGATTCTGTATTTACCAGAAGCTTCCAGGCTGCTGCAGACCACACAGTAGAAGCAATGATGTGGATGAGATTGCTTAGGGTGATTGGATGGGTGAGAAGAGGTACGCCTTTTCTCTAGAGGTGAGGAGAGAACCTTGAGGCATACCAGAAGAATGTTGGGGTGAAAAGAAGATCAAGTACAGAATGCTGGAAGTGCAACTATCTTAGAAGAAGGTAGTAGAAAGGTGGGATGGGGAGGTCTCTCCACCCAGTCTCCTACATGCAGGGTTAGGTGCTACAGCTCTGTTCAGGATATTCAATCTTAGAAGAACCTAGTAGAATACTGATCTACTGCCTTCATTATCCTCTTACTCTGTATTTATGGATAAAGAAATAGAACTACAAGAATGAAATACCTTTGGCATAGTTTCCTTTTATTATCACTTAAACTCAATTCCTGCTGGGTGCGGTGGCTCATGCCTGTAATTCCAGCACTTTGGGAGGCAGAGGCGGGTGGATCACCTGAGGTCAGGAGTTCGAGACCAGCCTGACCAACATGGTGAAACCTTGTCTCTACTAAAAATACAAAATTGGCTGGGCATAGTGTTGTATACCTGTAATCCCAGCTACTCGGGAAGTTGAGGCAGGAGAATCACTTGAACCCAGGAGGCAGAGGTTGCAGTGAGCTGAGATTGCGCCATTGCATTCCAGCACAAGAGCGAAACTCTGTCTCAAAAAAAAAAAAAAAAACCTCAGTTTCTGTTACCAGTTTTACTTTTTGATTTGCACTCAAATACTTAGGGAATCTGTCATTCTTTTCCTAAGAAAGATGTTAGTGGCTAAGAAATTAAGACCTTATTCTCTCACTCTGTTGCCCAGGCTGGAGTGCAGTGGCATAATCTCAGCTCACTGTAACCTCAGCCTCCTGGGCTCAAGCCATCCTCCCATCTCAGCTTCCTGAGTAGCTGGGACTACGGGTGTGCACCACCATGCCCCGCTATTTTTGTAGAGATGCGGTCTTGCTGTGTTGCCCAGACTAGTCTTTAACTACTGCGTTCAAGCAGTTCTCCCACCTCAGCCTCCCAAAGTGCTGGGATTACAGGTGTGAGCCACTGCGGCTAGCCAAGACCTTATTCTGATCCCATTTTTATTAAACCATTTCAAGCTAAATGGACATTACCAAAGGAGGAAACATAGGAGGTTATATTAACTTCCTAGGGCTGCCATAACAAATTACCACAAATCGGGTGGCTTAATACAGAAATGTATTCACTCACAGTGAAGTCTGAAATCAAGGTGTTGGCGGGGCTGTGCTTCTTCTGGAAGCCTTCCTGGTCTGGTCCAACTCCTGCTTGCTCCAGGAGTTTGTGGCAGCATAACTCCAGCCTCGACCTCTATGTTCACATGGCTGCTTTCTCTGTCTCTGTGTTTCTCCTCTTCTTTTTTAAGGGTACTTACTGGACATTAGATTTAGGACCCACCCTAAATCTAGGATGATGTCATTCTGAGATCCTTACTTAATTACATTTCCAAAGACCCTTCTTTTGAATAAGATCACTTTCACAGATTCTAGGGGTCAGGACTTGGACATATTCTTTTGGGGGGTCACTGTTGAGCCCACTATAGAGGTGAGCACTACTTGATTGTGAGCAGTATGAAAAAAAAAAGGTGAGATGAAGTGATGTGTGGATTTTCACACATTTTATTTCTAAAATGTTTAATGTAAATTGCCTGTTTTTCCATTAGGAAATACGCAAAAGCTGAAACTCTTATGACAGTCACTGATCCTGTTCATGATATTGCATTTGCTCCAAACTTGGGAAGATCTTTCCATATTCTAGCAATAGCAACCAAAGATGTGAGAATTTTTACATTAAAGCCTGTGAGGTAAGTTTTAGAAGCATTTGTGAATTTGAAAATACTCTTGCCTCCTGATTACCTTTGTTTGTGGAGGAGAGCGTAGAGGCAACTATGATTTGAAGAATGGATTATTTTATGTATAAATATATGTCTTCTTAGAAAGGGGAATTGAGTAAAGAGAGAGATTCATATTCTCTTAATTGTGCTTTATTTAGGACAATAGAATTCTCTGATTATAACTGATACTCTATAAATATTTAAATTAATGAGAAGTGGCAGTCTAGGAAAAACTAAATTAGTACTGAGATAGTCTTGTGAATAACATATTTAATTTTGAATTGTGAATTTCAATTCTTTTCTTTCTATTCTTTCATTCTTTCCTACTTGCTGCCCTGCCTTTTTTTTTTTTTTTTTTTTTTTTTTTTTTTTTTTTTTTTTTTTTTTTTTTTTTTTTTTTTTTTNTGACAAGGTCTTGCTCAGTTGCTCAGGCTAGAGGGCAGTGGCTTGATCTTGGCTCCTTCAACCTCCACCTCCCTGATTTAAGCAATTCTTGTGCCTCAGCCTCCTGCATAGCTGGGATTACAGGCACTGGCCACCATGCCTGGCTAGTTTTTTGTATTTTTAGTAGAGACGGGTTTCACCATGTTGGCCAGGCTGGTGTTGAACTCCTGGCCTCCCAAAGTGTTGGGATTACAGGCATTGAGCTACCGCACCTGGCCTTGTCTTGCCTTTTAAAATTAATTATTATAATCTGTTTTATTTCTCAGCTTTGTGTGGGAGACTAAAATCATCCCGTTTTGTTGTTTCTTTCTTCCATGAAACAGTCATTGAATATCATTTATGTGCTGGGATCACTCCAGGTTCTGGCAAGTTAAATGAAAATGACACTGGCCTAGCTCAAGGGCCAAGGGGCGAGTGTTATGCAGATGTGCACATTATAATAAAGTAATGTGGTATGTGAGACAACTTGTGTTAATTTAGAATGGTGTGTATGTGTGTGTATCTATCATCTATGTTTATTTATTTATTTAATATTATTTTTTTTAAACTTTGCTTAGAGTCCCTCAGAAAATGTTTTTTATTAGCAGGAAAGAACTGACTTCCTCTGGTGGGCCAACAAAATTCGAACTCCATATAGTGGCTCAGTTTGATAATCATAATTCTCAAGTCTGGCGAGTGAGTTGGAATATAACAGGAACAGTGCTAGCATCTTCAGGAGATGATGGCTGTGTAAGATTGTGGAAAGGTAAGATTTCAGTGAAGGGGTAATTGTTGGTTTATATTTCTGCTCTGGAATTTTTACTTAAAAATGTAAACTCTGAAATATTTTTTTAAAATGGTCTCTTAGACCAGGTGCAGTGACTCATGCCTGTAATCTGAACACTGTGGGAGGCGACGGTGGGCGGATTATAAAGTCAGGAGTTCAAGACCAGTCTGGCCAACATAGTGAAACTCCATCGCCACTAAAAATACAAAAAATTATCTGGGTGTGGTTGCAGGTGCCTGTAATCCCAGATACTTGGGAGGCTGAGACAGGAGAATCACTTGAACTCCAGAGGCAGAGGCTGCAGTGAACAGAGATCGCACCACTGCATTCCAGCCTGGGTAACAGAGTGAAACTCTGTCTCCAAAAAAAAAAATCGTCTTTACAGTTACTTTTAAATTGATATCTTACTAATTTATGTTATTTTGACCATCAGTTTACCTAGTTCATAGCAATTAATGACTGAATTGTTTTTTAAGTTATATGGAACAGAGCAACTTTTAAAACTAATTACAACAGAATATGCAGTATCTCCAATAAAAAGATACCGTTTATTGTGTATGTACCTTATGTGACTGCTCTACAAACTCAGTTAGGACTATAGTCACTCTTATTTTATCAAATAAATTGCTTTAAACAATCAGTTCTTAATAGGAGAAAATCTAGTATCTTCCCTGCTTCATCTCTGCAGCTCCCAAAAGTTAAGAGCCTCGGGCTCCTGACTGTAAGTTTCTTACAAGTGCCAGCCTGAGAGAGAAGGTCTGGTCAGTTGACGCTGACTGTGGTTTCTGTAGCTTGGTTCTGTACTTCTCCTTGGATGACTATCCATTGGGCAGAGATGGCTGTGATTTGTGCACCGCCGTTATGAATGGTGTCTCATACTTAGCATTCAAATTTGTAGATGTCTTAGTTTATTTACCCTCTAGCACTTATTGTTTCCCAAAGTGCAGTCTGGCTAAACCTGAGGGACTCCCATGTTCAATTTTGGTCTTTGGTAGAATCAGCCCAGACCTTCCTTTCTTCACTGTAGTTTGATTTCAAGGGCGTCGCTGTCATATTCTGCCTCTAGGCTTTAGTCAGGACTACCTTGCCATGCTCCTTGGCAGGTTGCCTAACTTGATTTTCTTGGGCTCATTATCTTCAGAGACCAATTTTGCATTCAAACTAATAAGGCCATTTTGGATAAGCCACTCAAGCTCCAAAAGTTTTGTTACATCCTTTTCAGAAGACATTAGGTACCCATATACCTTGTATTTGCATAATTAAGAAGACAACTTTGCTGGGCGCGGTGGCTCACACCTGTAATCCTGTGGGAGGCTGAGGTGGGTGGATCACGAGGTCAGGAGGTTGAGACCAGCCTGACCAATATGGTGAAACCCCATCTTTAAAAAAAAAAAAAAAAAGACAACTTCGTTACCTTACATTGTGTGTGTGTGTGTGTGTGTGTGTGTGAAATTCATTATAATGAAGACCTTAATATTATTATGAAGATTTTAATATTAACTTCATAATGTGATAATGTAGTACTTCAGAGAATTGTCTCTGCTAATATCTATAAGATGGCTGGTGAAATCTTTATATTCTTAAAATTGGGGATACTGCCGGGCGCGGTGCCTCAAGCCTGTAATCCCAGCACTTTGGGAGGCCGACGCGGGCGGATCACGAGATCGAGAGATCGAGACCATCCTGGTCAACATGGTGAAACCCCGTCTCTACTAAAAATACAAAACATTAGCTGGGCATGGTGGTGCGTGCCTGTAATCCCAGCTACTCAGGAGGTTAAGGCAGGAGAATTGCCTGAACCCAGGAGGCAGAGGTTGCGGTGAGCCGAGATCGCGCCATTGTACTCCAGCCTGGGTAACAAGAGTGAAACTCCATCTCAAAAAAATAAAAAATAAAAATTGGTGATACTTTGAAAACTTCTAAAAAATTGTTAAAACGAAGATAATAAGAAATGCCATAGCCCATAGCTTCTCTCGTTTCTGTAATTGTAGTTTAAGGACATGGGTACAGATTTATGCCCTTAGGCATTGGTATTAATCACATTAATGTATTTGATTATTTTCTTTTCAGCTAATTATATGGACAATTGGAAGTGTACTGGTATTTTGAAAGGTAATGGGAGCCCAGTCAATGGGAGTTCTCAGCAGGGAAACTCAAATCCTTCCCTAGGTTCAAATATTCCAAGTCTTCAGAATTCATTAAATGGATCTTCTGCTGGCAGGTAGGCTGTTTAATGGGAAAACTGGAAATTGTCTTTGTTTTAAATCATTCTGTTAGCCATACTTGAGGATTATTTCATGGATTATAAGATGGAGTGGAAATGTTCACATGTAAACTATATTAGCAATTAAGAATTCATTTTGTGTTTGGCTTACTTGGTCAGAATGTTTGCCGGTAGGTTATGAGGCTATTACATTATATTCTGAAGCTTTTGTGATCTATTGGTAGAAATGTTTATAGGTTTAAGATTCAACTTTGCTTCTGCAGCAGTGAGAGGAAGAGGTTATCTGGTTTAATAGTGAGGGTTTTAGTCCAAATGAACATTAGTGTTTTTTAGTGCTTGTAGTGTGGTCTTTGCATTAGGTCAAACTGAGATTTTAAATAAAATACATTAATTAAGACTTTTTAGAAGAGAGTACATTAAATTATTTGGTTTTCGTGTTTAAAACTTATTGGAAATAAGAGGAAATAATAAAATCTGAGAATCATTTAAAAAATATTAGCATATTGTTAGATCTTGTGTATCATCATAAGGAATATCTGATGTCATCTAAAGAGTCATCCTTTTATTTTCATGTTCAAATTTTAATTATGTGAATTTGTAAGATAAAACTATTTTAATATGCTTTTGTGAATAACTTTGGAATAGAATTCAGGAAGCTTCAAAACACAGCCTAATGAACTGTCCTGTGGTTATCCTGTTGTTCCCAAATAAAAGATGAAAATTGTATTTAAAATTTCAACTATTTTTATATTGTTATATTTTTATAAAGAAGTCCTGCTTTTCATTTTGAGGTTGTAAATATGTGCATCAAAATAATTTCAGGCTACTGTGGGACATACCAGATTATAAAGATTATTTCATGAAACAAATAATATTAGAGTTGATTTTTAAGGTCTGGTTTTAGGTCACTGCCTGTACTATGTATTTTCTTTTGTAAATAGCTTCGACGTTTTGATCTGTATACTTATTGTGCCAATAACCATCTTTGTTAGATCTGTGATGCATTTTCCCTTTTCCATTTGTATTATGTCCTTTAACAGAAAGCACAGCTGAGTACAAGCTAACTGGAGTAACTTTGCTGTTTTGCTGCTTGTTGCATGCACACAGGAATGGAAAGCGAGCTCCTTTTTCCCTTCCCCAGCGCCATTTTGACCTCTCCCAAGATACACCAGCAGCCTGCTTACTACTAAACAACCCAAAAGGCCTTTAAAAATACAGTGTATATTTTTTTGTACTAGTCAGTTTGTTGACACTATTTGAAACTTTTGAAATATAAATGGAGAGGCTTTCTGTTGAGATGTTGTCACCAAAACAATTTTTTGAAATGTTCCGCAAACTAACTTGGGTTTAAAGATTAAAAGGGTTGTTAACCTTCTTATATAAGTAGTTGAGAGGAGGGGAAATATCACTTTAATTTTTTGGGAAAATATAGACATATTTCTTTTGCTTTCTTAAAACAGCTTAAAATGAAATTTTATAATTTTAATTTGAAGATTGAATAAATATTTTTCATAAAGATTGTTTTGAGTGCTGATTTGTTTACTTTTTGTAGAATTGCTTTATACATGATATTCAGTACAACTCTGTCATTTCTTTGTACTATTTTAAAAACATTAGTAAAGGAGTGAATTAGTAAAGTAGTAATAGTAAAATGAAAGTAACTTGACTGTACAGTTTGTAGCCAGGTTAAGCATTTGGTGTTGTTTCATTTATAATTTGGGAGTAAGATGGAAACACTTTTTTTATTAAGTTTTTAATTGATATTCACTAAAGAGATAAATGTTTCTAATATACATCTGAATATTTTTATGGTGTTATTTATTTCATGGCTTAGTTTCCTTCACATCAAAATTTGGACACGTACTATAAGAGAAGCCATTAAAATTTTACTAAAATTGTGCA